CCTCCTCCTCCTCCTCCTCCTCCTCCTCCTCCAACCTTTCTATCACTGAGGATGTTACCTAGTTGGGTAAAGCGGTTAAAAGTCTCTTTTTCTAGTGAGGTTTAACTTCAAACAGTCCCTAAAGGAATGGATGTAAATTGAGGATGACCCACATCTCCCAAATGCTCCGAGGGGCCGTGAGGGAGAGAAAAGAGAGACCCTCCCAGAGGCCTGAATGACTTTTGGGTCTCCAAAATGACTCAACTCAGAAAGATCTTGGCCTATGGACCTCTCTCTCTTTCTCTCTCTCCATTCTCTCTCTCTCCTTCTGACTTTTTTATTTCCCTCTTTCTCTTCCATTAACTCCCCTCTCTTTCTCCTTTCTTTCTTTCTCTTTCTTTATCCTCTTTCTTTCTTTCTTTCTCATTCATTTATTCATTCTTTCTTTCTCTTTCTTTCCTTCTTTCTCTCTCTCTGTCTCTCTGTCTCCATTCTCTCCTTCTTTCTGTCTCTCTCTCCCCCTCTCTTTCTCCATTCTCTCTCTCTTTTTCTTTCTTTCTTTTTCCCTCTCTCCCCATTTGCTCCCTCCCTCTCTTTCTCCTTCCTTCCTTCCTTCCTTCCTTTCTTTTTTTTCCTCTCTCTCCATTCTCTCTCTCTTTCTCCCCCCTTCATTTCCCCCGCTCTCCTGCCCCTTTTTAAATCTAAAAATACTGAGACTGTGGCCTGAGGGAATTGGGCATGGAGTGGGTGGAGAAGAGGGGGGCTGCTGGAGCCTCCTCCCCCCCCCAGCAGTCCCCTACTTCCTGACCCTTCCCAATTGAGGCTTCCTGTGTCCAGCAGCAGGAAGGCGGAGTTTGAGGAGTAGGGGGAGGGGGAACCTCTCTTTCTGCCAGGTGGGGGGACACGACTCCTGTCACAATGCCCCTGGGTGACACAGGTGGGCCAGACCCAGGCTGGGCCCTCGGAGGGGGAGTCATCAGCATGGAGCTTCTGCTGGATGTCAAGGAGCCCCCCCCCCCCCCGAGGACACCTGCAGCCCCAGGATGGACTTCTGGATTTTCCCTTTAAATCCACTCCTGATTCTCCTACTTCAATCACGGAATTTGTCACACAGTTAAGATAACCAGGAGATCTTTACCAACGGATTGCAAATCATCCATCCGTCAGTCAGTCCCAATCTCCTCCTGACTGGAGTCTTAGCACCCCTTTGTAAAGCCTTAGTAAGGCCACGCCTGGAATCCTGCACCCAGTTTTGGTCACCACATTACAAAAACGATGTTGAGACTCTAGAAAAAGAGCAACTAAGACGTTTAAAGGCTCGGAGGCTAAAACATACGATGGACGGTTGAAGGAACCAGGCATGGCTGGTCCAGTGAAGAGAAGGACCAGGGGAGACAGGAGAGCATCTTCCAATATTTGATGGGCTGCCCCAGAGAGGAGTTAGGGGATCAAGCTCTTCTCCAAGGCACCCAAAGGCCAGAGAAGGAAGAATGGATGGAAACTGACCAAGGAGAGACTCAACTTGGAAATAAGGAGGGATTTCCTGACAGGGAGAACCATCAACCCTTCGGAAGTTGTGGGAGCTTCATCACTGGAGGCTTTCAAGAAGAGACAGGACAGCCATCTGCCAGAAATGGGTTAGGGTCTCCTGTTTGGGTTGGGCTAGATGTCCTCCAAGCTCCCCTCCAACATAA